CAATCAAATACTTCAACTTCTATCCATTAGCAGTAAAATTTAGTAGAGGCTACCATCTAGTGGTACTGAGTTGAACAGTTCCAATATCTGAAAAGTGATCTTGTTTTTGACAAGAGAATAAAACATGGATCTAGTCACAAAATCCTTTGTAATCGTAAGAATCATAAGCTTGGCTATTAACAAGATAGGTTATGCTGTTTTTGGTACTCTCAAGTGTAAAGAAGAATGATTCAAGCAATAGGATGCTGGCAAAAGTTTTTCAGAGAGAATAATATTGAGGGTACAGAAAACTCAGTTAATTACAGTAATTTCAACAGAGTGCTTTCTATGTGTATTTCATCTGCCAGGAAATCCCATTTGGTTTGTTTTCATAATACCTCTGTATCCGGAATTCAGCTTATTAATACGTTGCCACCTCCCTGGTCCAAGCAACCATCATTTCCGACCCGTAATATTGCAATAGCCTGTGGCTGCCCTTCCTGCACCTCTTCTTGCTCTGGTTTCCATAGCTGCCCTCTAGTCTCAATATAAGAAGCCAGAGTGAACCTTTGGAAATATAAGTCAAATCACAACATTCTTCTGTTCTAAACCCTTCATTTCTGAGTAAAAACAAACTCCTAAAAATGGCCTTCTATAGACAGAAGTTCCAACTTGATCTGCCCCTCATTCTCTGTGCTCGTCTCTGCTGTTCCCCCAGACCATCCAGCTTCCCCCACGTGCCCTCGGTGCCGTGAGCCGAGCTCCTGACTTAACGCCTCGTGCTGGCTGCCGCTTGCACCTGAGGTTCTTTCCTCTGTTCTCTGCGGGTTCATTTGAGTTTTTGCTGATATGTCAACTTCTCACCGAGTCCTGCTCTCACCACCCAGTTTCAAAGTTTATTTTGTTAATTTCTAAAGCTTTACGAGCACTCTTGAATTTTTTTTTTCAGATTACTGGAAACTAGACTGGTTAATTTATACTCTGTAAATAAAAGTAAATGACATGCATGACCATCACGGGCCGTAAGTGTCATGACATTAATAAGATAAAATAACTTATTTCTAGAATGGTTAGAAAAAACTTCCTGGAAGAAATGATATTCGAGATATCTTCTTGTGCGGGTATGAAAAACAAATGGCTGGGAGATTGTAAGTTGTTCTGACTAAAAGCAAAAGTCATAAGCAATATTCTGAATATGATTATTGAACAATATTGTTAAAATAGAAGGAAAGTTAAATAGGAAAGGGGTAACATGCCTCTTCCTGTATATGATGAACTAACTTGAATCAAACCACTGATAACAATGATAAAATACAGATTAAAAGTATTTTTCAAAATCTGAAGACCTCAGAGACCTACCAAAACGGGAGCATATTCATTCATTCATTCATTCATTCATTCATTTATAATGGAATGTATTGGGGTGATATTGGTTAATAAAATTATATAAGTTACAGGTGTACAATTCTATAATCCATCACTTAGATATTGTATTGTGTGTTCACCACCCCAAGTCAAGTCTCCTCCCTTCACCGTTTATCCCCGCTGTATGCTCTTTGACCTCCTCCCACCCCCCTTTCCCTCCGGTAATCACCATACTGTTTGTGTCTGTAAGGTTTTTCTCCACCCAGCCCTGCAACCCTCCTCACCACCCCTCACCCCCCCACAATGGAGCTAATTTAAACAGAGGCAAAATATCAATAGAATTGCATGCAACCTTAGTAGGCTGGTAAAACAAAAGTTGTGGTTCGGGGCTGCCCAGGAAGACGACTCTGGGGAACACTCCAGACTCTGAGGGGGCCTTGAAACCTGCTCCCTGCGTGGGAGAGCAACCTTAGGGGAAAGCCTTGGGGAGAGGGAAGTGGGCAGCCCTGAGTTCCTAAAGCTGAAGATTATTATGTGAAACTAGGTCAAACTTTACAGTGATCTCAGAACTTGACACAAACCTGCCTCAAGCCATTCACTCCTCTGCAAACCTGGCTTGTGGGTATCTATTTGTGCATGTTTGTTGATAACATTTCTCCTGAACTCCCTGAAATTCTTCAGCTATGCCTATTTCTGTCCTAACACATAATGCATTGTCTGTTGTATATTGGGTGGCAAGTCAATACATCTGAGTAAATGAATGCACTTGATAGATAAAGACATGAATGAATGAAGGAAAAACGAATGACTGAAAAGTCCTTCCTAGAACCACCTCCCTATTTGAATCTTACTTAACTTTCTAGGAACAGGTAAAGTCTCTTCTAAGAAAGATTTAGGGATCATTTCTGCCATATTTTTAAAAACTCGCAGATGTTATCCAATCATTGCCATCTTACTATAAATTATCTTGTATTATTCCAAGCAATGAAAGCATATATTTACCTATGTCATGGACACACAATCGATTCCAAGAGGTAATCTTCTTAAGGACAGACATTGCACTTTGGGAGAGGATTAATTGAGAGAATAAATGCAAGTTTCTGACCTAGTGTTGCCAGACAAACACACACGATGCTAGCCAAAAGAGAAAAGCCACGTGGTAAGGCAGGAAGCATACCCCAAAGTATGTCTTCTTCAGAACTCTAAGTACTGAGGGGATACAACCAAGTTTAAGGATGCTTCTCTACTATTTCATTACAGCCAGGTGCAGCAAACCTCCCCCGGCTGTTTCTCTCTGCTTTCGTGGAGAATGTTTACAGCAAGAGTTTAAGCAAAAATGAGAAGTGCAAGGTGGCCTCTTCAGTGGTATTGTCTCTCTCAGGCTGATTTTGCTGCCCACCCTCACATTAATTACTTTAATATTTACACAACATTTAGTAAGATTTTAGGGGTGATTACTAAGAAAATGCAAGCTGTCATGACTGGTACTCACCTGCCTATCATTGCCTTATTTTGTAGCAGTCAGTAAAGTAAACCAGGGATATTATATTTGTGAAACAACTTTTTATGCAGCTTCAGTGTGTTAAGTTGGGAAATTGATATGATTAATGCACAAGTTTTGTTTTTCTAAGCTAGCCTTTCTTTACTTCTCTAAGTTCAAAGTGTGAAGCAGCCAGTTGAGTTTGGAAGCCATAGGCCATGCCTTACAGAATGTTTTACAAAATTTTCAAAATCATATGTTTGTGGAGTCAGTGATCACAATAGATATCAATTTAAGTATGCATAAGAAAGAAAGTTAAAAAGACATTTAAGTTTTAGGAAATGTTTATATTTTATATATTTGCATTTACGTTTTTGCATCTTACACAATGTTTATTTTTTACTTCAGAATAATGTGATTTTTTATATATTTTCCCCAAAACATTATATGTATTCAACATATTTGCCCTAGTTTTGTTAATGTTTATCAATATAACACTTCCTGGTTTTCATTATTTTTATCTGTTTTCCATTGTATTCACATACTAAGACAAAGAAACGCTAGAAACTATCTTTGGAACAGTAAGCTTGAATTCTTTCTCAAGCATAGATTTCTTTATTTAAAAAAATACACCTATTTTTTAGGATTGGCCAATAGACTCCTATTAAACATTTGTTCTTACAGATTCAAATTTATTTTATGATTATCATCCATGTTTTAATCCATGAATAATTATTTCATTACCTTAAGTGAACCTGACATTTAACTTTTAATCATTGGTTTGCGGGGGGGCGGGGAACGAGATTTGGCTTTTACAATTAACTTTTGCAGTATGAGTTACTTTACTTTTCAATACATTTATACAGGTACTTATTTTTGTAATGAAGAATTTAGTGTAAACATACTCTAGCTGTTTTTCAGCACATGCTTCGTACATTTGCTTTCTCTGTAAATGAGGACACCAAGTAGTCTTGTAACAAAGATGTATAATTAGTCGTCTACAGTTCAAAGGCTTATTTTCTATTGGTGTCTACCTAGAATTACCAAGCCATTTTTTTAGATATACAAATATAATTTATTTTCTTCTTTCTAATTTGGTTATATAAATTATATTAGGATGTTCCCTATTATCTCTCCTTTACAAACTTGAAGCATATGTAAATGGTTTATGGTAAAAAGCAGTAATTAATTCTACGCATGTAAATTTCTGTGATGGTGGGCGACTTGAGGAGGTTGCTAGGGACTGTCAGCCACTGCGGCTCACTTTTCACCTCATTGTTTTCACCAACATACCCTCTTGAACCACAACAGAAAGTCTGAAATCATCCTCTGAGACAGTTAAAAACTTGTTTTGGATTAATAAATAGTTGATCTCTCAATAAACTCCATTTTCTCCTTTACAGATTTTTCTGGATGTAATTCAACTTGCCCGCCTCCTTTTTTTTTAAAATTTCCATGAACCCAGAGTACATGTCAATTTTATATTTTAGACCTTCCCTGTACCTCTAACCTTGAACAACTGGTAATGTTGACCTCCATCCTGCTGCCGATATTTGCCTGGTAGCTGTGTCTGGACACAAGAAGTCCTTTTGGGCTGTGGCTTTTTCTCCTGTGATAAACTTCCTTTGTAATGATATGTGTGATCTTGTTTCTACTTAACTTTTTCTATTTCAACTTTGCCCTTTAGTTTCATAATATGATTCCTTACTTTATCTATGATACCACACTCCTTAAGGACAGGTTTATTATTTAGATTCACTTTGGGAATTAAAAAGTATAACATTGACAATGTATGTTAAAATAACCTCTACAGAAATTCTTGGTTTCATTAAATAAAGTACATAACTTTAAAAGAAATAAAACTTCAATTTCTAACAAAATCCACATTATCATCTTCCGAAGAGCAATTACTGCTGCCTTGTTCCTCATTTTTATTCTTATTATTTTCTAATTATATTTTTGTAACACCAGCAAAATTTACCTCTGTTGCATAGATTCTTCTTAAGAGTCTTCATAGCCCACTTTAAAGACATTTATATCTATTATAATCAGTCGATGAAAACAATCAGTTTACAGTAAACAAAATGTCTCAGACACCCAAAGTTTTAATAAATACTGCAGTACATTTTTCTGTACTCTAATTTTTGAGTAAAAACAGGTAAAGAAAGTAGCTTACCCCAAAAGTTTTCTGGCCATGGACTCTCTAAACTTGTTGTGTTATTAGCCATAATATCCACAAGAAATAAAAGAGAGAAAAGAAAACAAGAACGTAAGAAAAGCCAGTATGTCCAAAAGAAGCACTTTGATTCTATGTCTTTGTGGTTCAGCAAGAGAAAATAATTTTCACACAACCCCTCTAATACTGTGTTTGCATAAAAGGAAACAAGTGTATCATGTTTCCTGCTTTTATACTCAAATTAGCAACTGTTTTTCTTATCTTGGAATTCCACATGGTTCCTGAGACACAAAACAATTTCCTTCTCGTCATATCCTGGGCTAACGTACTGAATGCAGACCTCTTGGCCACCTCCAAAATGCTTTGGGGACAGGAGACTTTTTTTTCTTGTCCCTTCTCTATCTCCTGCTGACATGTATAGGAAGATTTCAAACTCTCAGCTATAGCACTTTGGGTTAAATTTCCATAGGATAAAGCTGCTTTACAAAGTTTAAAAATCATACTTAAATAGTAAGTTATGGAGGGGAACAATTTCAAAAATCCATACTCTGTTCAAGTACAATTAATTTTGAATACATCTTTTTTATAAATCTCAGTTACGTATTAAAATTCTTAATGTGTCTTGTTCTAGTTGGTATATTAATTTTGAAAATGTCTTTATTTCATAAATATCTAAAAAATATATATTTGTTCATTAAAATTTGTATTTAAATATGGAAAGCAGTTTCTACAGTGAAGGAATCTATTGAAAACCAAGGAGGAGAAACATACATGCAAACGTTCAACTGCAACAGAAGTGTAAAGGCGTTAGCGAGGAGCACAGTGATCGGTGTTCGCAGTGATCTTTTCTTCACGGAAAGGAGTGGGAGAAGTGATGACTTTAGTACTGTGTGTGAAAGCATGAAAACAATTGCGGTCAAGTCGAGAGCAGGGAATGAGGAAGAAGGGCAACATAAACAAAGGAGGGGAATTAGTCCAGTCCCCCCTGGGGACACCTTTGGTATGACAACAGGGTGTGGGAGGTAGGGCTACAGGAGATGTAGGGTAGCTGAATTTCAAGTCTTTGTCTACAAGTTTTCTTAGTTCAGGCTAGACCCTCTGAGCATGTGGAAGTCATTGTAAGTGGCAGTCACAGTGCCAAATTATACTTAATAATGGCATTCAACTGCATTCAGCGACCTGGTTTCCTCAATCTTTGATTAATCCCAGCACTAGCCTTTGCATAACCCGGATTCGCCTGAACTGTCCTTAGATGTGACTTAGTTGCAGTTGATCATCTTTGTGATGTAATACATCTCTGAGTAGCTGTAAGAATGTCCAGTCAGATTTATGTCACATGCATTTTAACATTCTTAATTCTTTAAAAACTAGGTTGTTTCTGCTTATTTTCTTAATTTTTATAGCTTTATACTAAATGTAAATGTACTGGAAATTAAAACATAGGCACTGAAAAGAGAATAACAGTGTTATGAAAACTTTCATGGTTTCTTTAAAAAAATTTTTTTTTAATTTTTCTCTTACAGTTGTCCCAATATCCCCCATGGCCCCCCTCTGCCCAGCCCTTCCCCCGCCCCCACAGTCATCCCCACCCTGGTGTCCGTGTCCGTGGGTCATTCATACTTGTTCTTTAACTAGGCCTTTCCCTTCCCTCCTTTGCACCCTTATCCCCCGCCCCTGTCCCCTCTAGTCACTGTCATTCTGCTCTTGTTTCCAGGCCTCTGGTTCTATTTTTCTTGTTTGTTTGTTTTATTCACTAGGTTCCTCTTATAGGTGAGATCATATGGTATTTGTCTTTCACCACCTGCTTTGTTTCACTTAGCATAATAGTCTCCAGTTCCTTCCATGCGTCACAAAAGGTAGGGGTTCCTTCTTTCCTCCTGCTGCGTAGTATTTCATTGTGTAAATGTACCACAGTTTTTTTTATCCACTCACTTCCTGATGGGCACTTAGGCTATTTCCAGCATGTGGCTATTGTAAATTGTGCTGCTATGAACATGGGGTGCACAGGTTCTTTTGAATTGGTGTTTCAGGATTCTGAGGGTATAATCCCAGCAGTGGAATTGCTGGGTCAAAAGGCAGTTCCATTTTTAGGTTTTTGAGGAAATTCCATACCGTTTCCCACAGAGGCTGCACCAGTCTGCATTCCCACCAACAGTACACTAGGGTTCCCTTTTTCCACATCCTCGCCAGCACTTGTTGTGTGTTGATTTGTTAATGCTGGCCATTCTGACAGGTGCAAAGTAATATCTCGTTGTTGTTCTAATTTGCATCTCTCTGATGGCTAGTGATGCTGAGTATCCTTTCATAAGTCTGTGGGCCCTCTGTATATCCTCCTCAGAGAAGTGTCTCTTCGGGTCCTTTGCCTATTTTTTAATTGGATTGTTTGTCTTCCTGGTATTGAGTTGTATGAGTTCTTTATATATTTTGGAATCAAAGCCTTGTCCAAGGTATCATTGGCAAAAATGTTTTCCCGTAGGGTTGGATCCCTTCTCGTTTTGATTATTTTCTTTAGCCATGCAGAAGCTTTTTAATTTGTAGTCCCATTTGTTTATTCTTCCCTTTATCTCCTTTGCCAGTGGGATATCTGAAATTTTACTGCCTATGTTTTCCTCTAGGACTTTTATGGTATCATGATTTATATTTTAGTCTTTTCTCCATCTTGCGTTTATTCTGGCGTATGGTATAAGTTGATGGTCTAGTTTCATTTTTTTGCATGTACCTATCCCAATCTCCCAACACCATTTATTGAAAAGATTATTTTTACTCCATTTTATGATCCTGCCCCCTTTGTCAAATATTAATTGACCATAGAGGCATGGGTATATTTCTGGGCTCTCTATTCTGTTCCATTGATCTATGTATATGTTCTTATGCCAGTACCAGGTTGTTTTGATTACAGTGGCCTTGTAGCCTTTTAGTATAGTTTGATATCAGATATTGTGATCCCTCTTTGTTTTTCTTTCTCAAGATCACTGAGGCTATTCAGGGTCATTTTTGGTTCCAGGTACATTTTTGAAATATATGTTTTATATCTGTGAAATATGTCATTGGTATTTTAATAAGGATTGTGTTGAATCTATAGATTGCTTTGGGTAGTATGGACATTTTAATGATGTTATTTCTTCCAATCCATGAATGCTGTGTATGTTTCCATTTATTTGTATCTTTCTTAATTTCTTCCTCAGTGTTCTGTAGTTCTCTGAGTATAGGTTGTTTGCTTCCTTGGTTGAGTTTATTCCTAGGTACTTTATTTTTCATGTTGCTATAGTAAATGGGATTTTTTTCCTAGTTTCTACTTCTGAAGTTTCATTGTTGGTGTACAAAAATGCCTTCAATTTCTAAATATTGACTTTGTATCCCACTCTTTTGCCAAATTCACTTATTAGGTCGAGTAGTTTTTTGATGGAATCTATGGGATTTTCTATGTACACTATCATTAATCTGCAAATAACGACTGTTTTACTTCCTCCTTTCCAATTTGGATGCTTAGAGTTTCTATTTAGAGACTTTATTGAGAAAATATGAAGATTCATGTCTATACTATTCTTGCTGAGATTTATTTCCATATAATCAAGTAAATAAAATATACTATTGATCAAGGAAAGCAAAATAAGGGCTTACATTTTAATAGCTACCTTTAGTTTTCAATATTTCTAAACAAAATTTATAAAAATAGAGAACTAAAAGACCATCTTATTTCTAAAAAACATATAATTGGATAAAATTATATTGAAACACTTCTAGATCCTTCTAGAAACAGTAGGGTTCTTCAATTACTATATGCATTTTTAAATCCACATTTAGTTTTATTATAGACTACCAATTCAATAAACAGTAATTTTATAAATGGACGCATTTTTATAAAGTATTACACAGCATGCATTTGCCCTACACAACAAACTAGATGAGCAGAATGGATGAGTCTGGCTTTGCAAGAACTACCTCTGTGCATAAGCAAAGTTCCAGCAGGACTGGGGTGCAGGCTGAGACTTCCTGTTATCATTTCATATATAATTACCCTGATTTTCTCCCAATAAATTTTCACTCTTGCAGCTGGTCAAAACCCAGTCAAGACTCTGAAGAAAATGTGTTTTCTATCCATGTATAACCTAGGAATATTTTTCTTTTCTGATAACAGCTTATTGATAACATTAATTTTTATCTGTGTATGTAATCTGCTTGGTAAGGATTCATCCCCCCCTTTTTTTTGCAGAGATCCATGTAAGTGAATGTTTACATCTGTGTGATTTTCCAGTCCTATGACTTGTAATGCCAAACAGGAAGCCAATTTTTATTTACAGAAATGTTAGGTCTTCTTTTCTACTCTTCACTATTTCACAAGTTGGCTCTTAAATCTGGATTCTCCAGTAGTCATGAAATAGATTTGGAGGTTTGTTCCTCCCTCAGAGTCATAGGACTTCCTCCCTCCCTTCCTTCAGATCTCTGGCCCCTCACCAAGCATCCAATACTCACCTTGTCTGAAGGGTTCCCATGTAGCCTCTCTCTCTCCTCTGACTCTGCATCATCATTACTTTCAGAGCACTCATCACTCCCTGACTTTATGCTATATGTGTGTTGGCCTTTTTTTTTTTTGGTCTCTTTCACAAAGAGTTAAATTCTGGGAGGACAGGAGCTTTATTGATCTTACTCATATCTGTATCTCCTACAGCTAATATAGTTCTTTTAATAACATGTAATTAATAAATAACCCAACAGGCTCTTAATAAATATTTACTCAATTAGGAAACAAAATAATTCCAAGGGCTCTGAAAATGAAAGTAGTTTATATATTCCATACCAGGTTAATAAAAAATGTCACTACTTAAAAACAAAAGTTAAAGATCTCTGTTTATAGGCATTCAATATTTTAAAAGTGTGAGTTATTACTTGATACAGAGGCAAACAATACAAAAGAAAAATGTCAGACTTTAAACATTATTTTAGCTTTATCTTTTAAAACTATCATGAGTTTTGTCTTTCTCATGTTAAATTGATCCAAGTAATTTAGTTAAACTGGGAGTACTCTCAGAATATATAAGAATTACCCAGAAAAAATTTTAAATCTACTTGAAAACAATCTAATTTCAAAAAGTGACTTGGAAAATAAATTAAAATGTAAACGTATATGAACATATTTATGCTTTTTTTTCTTTA